GACTTGGAATCCTTGTTCATTGGAGGTAACACAATGTTTAATTAAGACCAGAGGCTTTGTCCTTGCCATCAACATTCCCAGCTCCAGGGTTGTTGTGATAAAACACAGACATATTGTGAATTAATTTCACAAGACTCTTGGGCAGGTTGTTGTCTCATTCACCCCAACAGTATGCCTCAGCCCTCCTCCTAGGAGTGTGACTGAGTTTCTAACCTTTTCCATATATCATAATACTTTTGAAATGGTCAATTCTGTTTGTTTTCAGCATCAGGCCTTTTATGGGCACTCTAGGATGGTATTTTTGAGGACAAGAGAGTGGAACAAAATGTGATGAAAAAGAGAGAGGCCACAGTTCAGATACTAGTTCCCCTATTTAGGGACTGAGTGACCACATCCTGGGGGCTTCGCCTCAGATTCCCCATGTCTTTCTCTTGTGTAACCTGCCTTTCAATGTCTCTCTTATGGGATGCTTGAGAAAGTAAAATAACAGAGATCATACCCAAAAAAGAGAGGCTCGATAAATTGTACCATTGGGAAGGAAAAAACCTGCTTTCTCTAACTTCTTAGGTTCCTGTCAGGGGTCCTGCAAATTAAATAGAGGAAAAATTCACAGGAGAAATTGGTTTATGCTAATGGGAGAACTTGCAGAAATGAAAATCCCAAAGGAGCCATCAAACTTGGAGGCTTATAAATCATTTTAACAAAATGGTGATAAATCTGTGAAGTGACAAAACAAAGGAAAAGGGTTTTGAGCTTCTGGAAGTGGTAAATTGTGGGAAGATAAATATGTGTGGAAACTAAAGGAAGATAAAGATTTATTTCAGTACAGTGTGCTCATGCAGGCCAGTCTCAGAGCTGACTTTCTGTCTTCTTCAAGTCCATAAAATTGCCCTGGGAGAAGAGATTTGCAGCAGTCCTCGTTTCTCAGACGTCCTTGTTTCTTATCTGTACATAGTCAGAGAAGAGAAGTCCCAGTGGCTGGGCACAGTGGCTCAAGCCTGTAATCCCAGCATTTTAGGAGACTGAGGTGAAGGGATTGCCTGGGCCCATGAGTTTGAGAACAGCCTGGGCAACTTGGCGATACCTCATCTCTACAATAAAATCAAAAAATTAGCTGGGCATGGTAGCGCACTCCTGTAGTTTTGGCTACTTAGAAGGCTAAGGCAGAAGGATCGCCTGAGTCCAACAGGTCGAGGCTGCAGTGGCCGTGAGCATGCCACTTAACTCCACTCGGCCCGGGCGGCAGAGTGAGACTCCAACTCAAAAAAAGAAAGAAGCCCCAAGAAGGCTTCTTTCTGTGTTTTTTGATCCATCATGGCCTCCCACTCAAAATAATCCATGTGCCAAAGTGGCATATTTTGAGGTGGTACATTTTGGGTGGCATATTCTGACCCTCCCTTATTGCATCATTATTGCTGTTATATGGTCACATGACTTGCTCCTCTGCAAATGTCACTGAAGAAAAACAATTTATGAATAATCATCCAGTAATAGCCATGGGAAATGCACTGAAATTATGATAACTTAGTTTTATGGTAAAGTTTTGAACATCTGATCCAGTCTTGAGAATTGCAACTCTGTCAAACAGAGAACATTGTCTATCTTACATACTATTGGAGTACTAACAGTTTTTAAGTATCATCACTTTTTTTTTTTTTTGAGTCGGAGTCTCACTCTGTGGCCCAGACTGGAGTGCAGTGGCCGCTCCCGGCCACCGCAGCCTCGACCTGCTGGGCTCTGGCGATCCTTCCGCCTCAGTCTTCCGATTAGCTGTAATTACAGGCATGTGCTACAATGCCTGGCTGATTTTTTTATTTATTGTAGAGATGAAGTTTTGCCAAGTTGCCCAGGCAGGTCTCGAACACTCAGGCTCAGGCAATTCACTCACCTTGGCCTCCCAAAGTGCAGGATTACAGACTGAGCCACCAAGCCTGGCCAGTACCATCACTTTTATTTGTTTGTTAAACATCTACATAGCACCTGCTCAGTGCCAGACACTGTTCATTGCAGTTTATAAATGTAGCATATTTCAGTCCTCATGACAGTCTTGAGTGAGGAAACTGAGACACAGAGAGGTTTAGTAACTAGCTTAACCTAGTAGTAGTGAGCAAGCGGCAGAGCCAGGAAGCAAACCCAAGCAGTCCGCTGACTCCAGGGTGGTGCTTGTGACAACTATCTCATGAGCTCCACAAATACTTTGTGAGTGCCTGAAGGTTAAGTGGCTAAATCCAGAACATAATGGCCAACTCAAGATTCAAATCAAGTCTGTCTGACCTGGAACCCAGGCTGTCCCTCATTCTAGACTGTCCCACGGTGGCCCAGGCTTGTAAGGAATGCTTATGGAGACCAGATGTTTTCAGTTTTGCCATAAGGCGAAGTCTAGTCAGTCTACTTCTATAAGCTGTGATGTTTTCTTTATAAAAATTCTCCAACTCTCAGCCAGGTGCAGTGGCTTGCACCTATAATCCTAGCAATTTGGGAGGTCGATGCATGAGGATTGCTTGAGACCAGCCAAGGCAGCATAGCAAGACCTCTGCTCTACAAAAAAAGTGAAAAACATGGCTGGACACGCCTGTAGACCCAGCTACTCTGGAGACTGAGGTAGAAGAACCCCTTGAGCCTAGGAGGTGGAGGATGAACCACTGTGCTGCAGCCTGAGTGGCAAAGTGAGACCCTGAGTCAGACAAATAAAACTCTCCAAACTAGAATTGTTCTAAATATTGCATGAGACATACTAAAATAGTATTCAATTCACACTCAGTTTAACTGGGTGTCCTGTGTTTTTATTTGATAAATCTAGCAACCTCAGTACAAGCACATAGTTTGACAAAGAATAAAAAGACAAGCAAAAGGAAAATGCATTTTTCTCTGAGGACAAAATCAATGCAAATTGCAATCTCACAGTAATAAATGTTAGCAGCCTTACTCTTCACAAATGGTAAAGAGTGGTTAACATAATGAAGCAGAAGTCAAAGAAAAAATTCACAGCTTTTATGTAGATATAAATAATTGATTTTTCATCATAAGTGTGTATGTGTTTATGCCTTATGCCTCTGGCATGATGCTGGACCCTGGAGTAGGCACAGAAGAGGAAGTGAGGAGGAGTAGGGGAAAGAAAAAGATAAAAGAAGGAGGGAAAAAAACCGATTCCTAAGTACCATATTCTGGAGATTACACGAGACATCATATTTCATTATTTTATTAATATTTTCACAAAATACCTTCAAAGAGCTAAGACTTTGTTCATTCTTCCATGAGTCTCAGAAAATGAGGTAATGTTTCCACAGCAGTTGAAATGCTGGAGGAAAGAATCCTCACATAGTGAGGACTGCCTGTCCACCCCCATTCCCAGTACCTCTTCACTGGAAAGAATACTCAATCCTGGATTAATTAGGTTTTCTCTCTCTCTCTCTCTCTCTCTCTCTCTGTCTCTCTTCTCCCTCTCCCTCTCTTCCTCCTTTTCTTCTTCCTCCTCCTCCTTCTTTTTCTCTTTCTCTCTCACCCCTTTTATAAATCTCTCTATGGAGAATTTAGCGCAGTTGACCTTGAGTGTGAATTAGTTGAACATGTGTCTGTCTCCCCCAAGTTATTAAGGAGGTAGAGGGAAGGGGCGATATCTGCTCTGCCCCTGCGTCTCCAACCTGAGTTTGATGCCTGGTATGTATTCTGAGCACTAGTATATTCCAGATACTGGGTTAAATGTTTTAGATTCATTATCTTAAATCCTCACAAAGACTCTGTGAGCTAGGTTACCTTAATCCCATTTTACAGTTGAGAAAAACAGAAATTCAGAGAGTAAACAGATTTGTAATGATAAGAGAACTCCAAGAAAGCCCCCAGCCTCTTTCTTCCTTGTAAGACCTGTCTCCATCTAAGGTGGCATCTAGAAGAAATGCCAGTCAGTATCTATCAATAATTTAAAAACAATTTAAATGTTTCTGAGATCTCTCAAGAAAATTCCACAGGGGATTCCCATTCCTAATGGATAGTAGAATTTCTCAACATGCAAATTTCCATGAAGATGTTCAAATCCTGAAACATTTTCCCCAACCCCAGTACACATTTTTTTGATTTTTCTTCCCCTCCAATTTCAGATCTATTCAATCCTCTACCAATGGCAAAGTTCTACTCTTTTCAAGTCAAATCTGGGCAACTTGCATGTTAAATGGGCATTACGTTAATACCTATTCAGAGAGATGATGCAGTTATCATTACAATATGCATCAGGCAGAATACTATGTAGCATCCAGCACACAGAAAGTGCTCGATAAATGTTTGCCATTATTCTTATTAGTCTCAGCTTTGCAGTTGTAACTATCATGGTGATTCTGCACCGCAAATACCCCAAAGAATGGTTGGCACACAGTGCTGCAGAGAAGGAGGGAGACTGAGTACTCAAACATTATTTTCCTACTTGTGAGCAGTATTGATACTGTATTTGGAGGGTATTTTCCATCTCAACAGTCAAAAAAAAATATGGAAAAGACGTGAATGCTCCCCAGGTATGCATGTACCTCCTCCCATATTCCCAGATTCCCAGATTCCCCGCAGCCATGCAGGGCCATGTGAGTCATTCTGGCATGGGCTGTAAGTAAGAGTGAATAGTCACTTCCCACCAAACACTTAAGAGTTGGTGCATAACCCTATGGCTCTCTCTCTTCCATAGTCACAGTGAATCAATGACTACAGAGGTCTCAGTTACCAGATAGAGAAGTACAAGATGATAGCGCTTCATTAACTGGGGTCCCTGAGAGACTGTATGGAGCAGAGCTCTCATCAAATTGCAGGGAATATGCCCTGTAAATAATTCAGTCAATGACATTGTTTCCTCAACATCCCAAACTCTCCCAGCTAGTACAAAGACTTTTTCAGATTGTAATTCTAATGATTCCCCATGCACGGTTCTCGAAGGACATTCAGCATCAAGGTGCTCAGTAATCCAGCCCGTTTTCTTCAAGTGCTTGCTTGCTTCCTACCAGGTAAGCCAGAACACCACAAACATGCTGGGCTTCCGGTCACATGATCTGCCGGCGAAGTTGTGTATGGGCCTGGCCTGTGTCCTGTCCCTGTGGAACACAGGTGGGTCTGGCTGGATTTCCAAAAGTTCTGCTCTGTATACTAAGTTTGAATATTTATTGTGCTTTAAAGAGTCTCAGCAGCCAACATTTCTGCCCAGCGTTCCAAATGAATTTGTTCAAAATGGCAGTAATAAATTCCCTACTTCTGTGATTGTTCCTTGACTTTTTGAGTCCCATTTATTCAACAGCATTCTCTTCACCTCCACCATTGCAGGCCTTATTCAAACAATTATTCTTCCAGGACCATGAAGGAACTTTTAAAATCAGCTTCTCCTCTTGTGTCTCCATGACCCCATTCTCCACTTGTAAGTCTGAGTGATCTTTTCATAATCCCATTCAGTCATCTTTCAAGTTCTTCCTTCATTTTCTCCTCCTGCTCCAAATTATTCATTGACTTCCTACTTCTCTTGATGTAGTGTCCAAGTCCTTTGCAGGCTCTGCTTGGCCGTGAATCTTTCTCCATCACTCCTTTCTACAAATCTCCATCTCCTTCCTTCTTCATACTCCATCACTGTCGGCCTTCTTCCAGTTCTTTAAAATAATTTCCACGCCCACCTAAGACACTGGGCGTATGCTGCTCTCTCTACATCAAACACCCCCTCTGCAAGTTCAATCTTATTCAAATACTATCCATTCTTTGGATCACAGCTCAACATCCTCTCCAGGGAAGGCTTCCAGATTCCTGAGATTAGATGAGACTCCTGTTATACACCCTCACCATTCCCTTCAAAGTCTTCGATATTGTTTACGGTTATATCCTTGAGTTCATTCTCTTTATGACTGCTTTCCCAACACGCACATTGCCTGCCAAATTCTACATGCTCAATAACATTATCAATCATTAGCATTATTATAGTTGGTCAATAAACACTTGATGACTAAATGATTAAATGAATGAACTAGATAAGGGATTTTAGGCAAGTCACCACACAATTCCAGGTCATAAAGTTCTCATCTATAAAATGGGTATTTTGGATTAAATTCTCTCTGGTATTATGTCTGGGTTATAATTTCTCTGATGAAATCTTTTTTTTTATTTTTATTTTTTACTTTAGTGCCTGGCATTAAAGGAGAAGCCAAGAAAGAAAAGGGAATGACCTTCCTACCTACAACAGGTAAATGGGTAGGTGATCCCCATTAGCTCACTGTTCTTGGGCAAATTTTTTGTCTTCCCTGAACCTTACTTCCTCTAGTCTTAAGACAGAGATTGTGTCTATATCTAACACGTGAATAATCATAGCAATATTCTCCTATGTATTGCTTATTATTTTCAGGTTTGTTGAATCATTCAGTTCTCATGATCTTAATAAATCCACAAGCACTGCAACATTCTATTTGTGATAGATTTTATTATGAGAGTTATTGTTAATTGCTATCATCACCTTTGTAATAATTTCATCTATCTTTGCCTTTCTTCTTTTTTTTTGGAGTTGGGACTCTCACTGTCTCCTAGGCTGCAGTGCAATGGCATGATCACAACTCACTGCAGCCTTAACCTCCTGGGCTTAGGCAATTCTTCTGCCTCAGCCTGCAGAGTAGTTGGTGTTAAAGGCATTTGCCACCACACTTAGCTATATTTTATTTATTTTGTTTGGCTGTATTTTATTTTATTTTTAGTGACAAGGAGTCACTTTGTTGCCCAAGTTAGTATCAAACTCCTGGCTCAAGCAACCTTCCCACTTTGGCCTCCCAAACTGTTGGGATAACAGGCATGAGCTACCACTTTCCACAATCCTAATGCCAGGAGCATACAAAGTCCTGCTGACCCTTTCAATGCACATTCACTACCAAGATGCAAATCCCACACTCATTTCAGGATGCTTTGGAGAAGGCGTAACTGATTCTAGGGTCTGCTACAAGTTTAGAAAAACCTCTGACTTGGGCTTTTTTCCCCCTCAAAAGTATCCAAGGATAATTTCAAGTATTTTGCCCTACCAGCATTTGAACGAATAAGACCCCCTTTATTCACATTCTTTCTGTCTTCCCTGAGATCGCAACCCTTTGGATTGAAGAGCTGTTGCCTGGGAGACTCCTTTGGAAGGATGAGAACAATACCCGAGTGTACTTTCCTCCTGGAGCAGGGCCCGAGATATTGGGGGATCTTGGGTGAATGCATTGCAACATAAAGAACAAGAAGTCAGGGACCCGGTTTCTGTTTCTAAATTTTTGGTCAACAAGCAGGATAATAATTTTTGGGGGTATGATTTTGGTTTTGGAGGAAATGGCCTTACTCTTTATTTTTAAATTTATATTTAGTTTAAATTAGAATATTCACATGACTTGAATAACAAAAAGTATGAATGCGTGTAAAGTTAGAATACTTCCCCAGCCAACCACTTCCCTTTCTCTGGGACATCAATTATATCAACTTACCGTGTATACATAGGGTAATTTTCCATAAATACTCCTCTTATTTGAGCCTCCAATTCCTACTCTACAGGTAATCATTCAGGATAAAAAAAGGTGATAAAATGCTAAGTATGGAGAAGTTCAAAAGATACTGGTATCTTCAATTTTAAAGATTCTATTATGGTGCTCTTTGTATCCAAAAATAAAACAATATTTTTATATAATATTTCTGGCAATGTATTGGAAAAATGCATGTCTTATATCCTGCTCAAGCATCTGTGCTTCTCTGGGTATAGTGATTCACACCTGTAATCCCAGCACTTTGGGAGGCGGAATAGAAAGGATTGCCTGAGCCCACGAGTTCGAGATCAGCCTGGGCAACTTGGCAAGACCTCATCTCTACAATAAATCAAAAAACTAGCCCAGCATGGTGGTGTGTACCTGTAGTTCCAGCTACCCGGAAGGCTGAGGCGAAAGGGTCACCTGAGCCCAGCAGGTAGAGGATGCGGTGACTGTGAGCGTGCCACTGCACTCCAGCCTGGGCAACAGAGTGAGACTCCAACTAAAAAAATAAAAATTAGAATAAAAAAAGTCTGCGCTTCAGAGGTGTTTGGTTCACAGTTCAAATCTTATTGTCGAAATATAACCAAGGATTTGTAATTAGAAAAAGGAATAGTAGAAATCATTCTTCCTTGGTGGGAGGAGTGATGTTAAAGAAAGGTGCTTGGTCAGAAAGATTGCACAGGATGCACTATTCTGACTGGAAATGTGTAGGAATCTTGAAAGTCCAGCAGCTGAGAGCACCCCTACAGCCTGAAGACCCAGAAGTCAGATAATCAACGGTTTCCCACCTGCATGATGGACTCTGTTGCCCAGGCAGGTAACAAACAAGGTTGATTGTTACCTCTCACAGATCTTACTGCAGATCATGAGTGGACTGCTCATTTAAAGAGCCACTCAGGTGCCAGACAGAGCCTCTCCCGAGCTAGACAGCTAGTTGGTTGACAGTGTTTGGTTTATTTAATAATTAGTGTGTCTCTAACCCGGCATGGTGGTGCCTGCCTGTAGTTCCAGCTACTTGAAGACTGAGGCAGGAGGATCACCTGAGCTCTGCAGGTCAAGGCTGCAGTGACCAGGAGTGCGCCACTGCCCTTCAGCCTAGGCAACAGAGTGAGACTCCAACAAGAAAAAGAGAGAGAGAGAGAGAGAGAGAGAGAGAGAGAGAGAGAGAGAGAAAGA